ATGGACGACGAGGTGGGTGCCGGAGACAGCCGGCAGACGCGAACGAGGAACACGACGACCGGAACGACCAGGACGGACAGGCGAGACAGGACGCGACGCTGGCTCATGACGCTCAGTAAGACCCCCTGTCCGCTCAGTGTAAGGAGAAGGAGCAGGGAGTGGTGAGCCAGGCTGTAACGGAAGACCAGTAGACGAAGGGAGACTAAGAACCTGGTGAAGCATAGAGTCAGGCGGTGGCTGAGACGACGGAGACGGAGGAGCAAAGAACAGGCGCGGCTGTGCAGTAAAACCAGCACCAGCAGCTCCAGTACCCCCAGCAGCTCCAGCACCTCCAGCAGCTCTAGAACCCTCAGCGCCAGCTCCTCCAGGACCAGCTCCACCAGCAGCAGCACCCTCAGTACCGGCACCTCCAGTCCTAGGGACTCCAGCCGCAGTGTCTCCAACAGCAGCACCCCCAGGCTCAGCACCTCCAGCCCCAGCAGCTCCAGTACCTCCAGTACGAGCACCTCCGGGACCAGCACCACTCCCAGCTCCAGTGACTCCAGCAGAAGTACCTCTAGCGGCAGAGCCCCGAGCTCCCGAAGCGCGACCCTGACGGCGACCGTACCAGTCGTGCAGCTGCTGTGAGGTGAGAGGCACACGCGGACGAAGGCGGCTACTCCAAGGAGACCGCACAACAGCAGACTCAGAACCCTCAGCGCCAGCACCCGCAGCAGCTCCAGAGCCTCCAGCTCCAGTACCCTCAGAAGCTCCAGAACCTCCAGCGCCAGCACCCGCAGCAGCTCCAGAACCTCCAGCGCCAGCGCCCGCAGCAACTCCAGAACCTCCAGCGCCAGCACCTGCAGCAGCTCTAGAACCTCCAGCGCCAGCACCCGCAGCAGCTCCAGAACCTCCAGCGCTAGCACCCGCAGCAGCTCCAGAACCCCCAGCTCCAGCACCCTCAGCATCTCCAGACTCCGCACCCCCAGGCTCCGCACCTCCAGGCTCAGCACCCCCAGGCTCCGCACCCCCAGGCTCAGCACCCCCAGAAGCAGCACCCCGAGCAGGACCACCCTCAGCAGGACCTGAGTCACCAGTGACCTCAAACGGCGCAGCCAAGGGAGGAGGGTCTACCTGAGACACACCTGAAGGAGCAGGACCGGGAGTGGGGAGGGGGTCTACCTGGGGAGCACCTGGAGCGAGGAAGAGCGGCGGGGAGGGGAGAGGGGCAGTGCGGTAGGGGAAGAGACGGTAAAAGGGAACCGACTCGTCGAACGTGACGTCCTGAGAGGGGAAGACACGGTGCGAGGTGGGGTGGTAAAACTGCCAACCAGGCGCTTCAGGGACAAAACCAAGGAAGACACAGGGAACACCGCGGGCGGAGAGCTTGTCCGCGGTGGTATCGCGGACAAAGGCACGAGAACCCCAGACCCGGAACACCGACGCATCGCCAACCTCCCCCGTCCACAGCAGTGTGGGCGAGGTCTCCGGCAAGGAGACACGGGGCCAGAGGTTGAGCTGATGCGCGGCGTACCGGACCGCAAACGGCCACAGAAAATGGGGGGCAGCCGCATGGATCATGGAGGTACGAGCGACCTCCATGACTAAGCCAATGCGGCGCTCAGCAACCCCATTCTGCTGCGGAGAGGCCGGAAGCGTGAACGTCTGGCGAATGCCGTGCTCTGCACAGAAGGCTGCCAAGAGGTCTGAGGAGAACTCACCACCTCTGTCAGAGTGCAGACGCAGGACAGGAAAGTCCGACTGGAACCGCTCGCGGAGCTGGAGACGAGCAGCGCGGATCCAAGAGATCAAAACATCAGGGACCTCACCCTTGGTACGCAAGGGGAAGACCGTGGTGTAACGCGTGTAGTCGTCGACGACCAGCAGGAAGTACCGCTCGTGGCCCTGTCCACGGACGCGGGCTGGGCCCCACACGTCCAGGTGAAGAGTCTGCAAGGGAGCCTCTGTGGGAGGGAACGAGGAGGAGTGAGGAGCGGCGCGCTGCCGCCCCTCGACACAGGGAAGACAGGGAGGAGCAGGCGAGGGTGGGAGGGGAGGGAGAACCCTGGGAAGACCAGAGACAAGGACACGGCGGTGCATGCTGCGAAGGCGCTGCACCGAGGGGTGACCAAGGCGGTGGTGCCAAAGGAGGGTCTGGTGCGTCAGTGTGTACAGGCCCGACCCCGGCTGCCGAGTGAAGGTAGCCAGGTGATGACCCGTCTGAGCACACGTGCAATGTGTCACACGCTCGTAGGCAGGGGTGAACTGGTGAACACCCGCCTCCTGGAGCGCAGAACCCGCCACCAAGTTCGTAGAGAACGAGGGGAGGTAAAGACCCGACAGTGTGCCGGACGGGACAGCAGGACAAGGGAGGACAGTGGTGGAGGTCGCACGGACTGGACCCCCAGAGGGGTCTGCCAGAGAGACTGCAACCGGCCGATTGAGCGGCGTGAGGGTGGTGGTGTCGCGAAAGAAGGAGCGAGAAGCACCGGAGTCAAGTGTGAAGGTGTAAAGACCTCAGCAGGCGCAGTACCAGAGAGAGCAGACTCACCAGCACCTGGAGCACAAGCCTCACCAGCACCTAGGGCAGCAGCCTCACCAGCACCTAGAGCAGCAGGCTCTATACCTGGGTCAGGCGGTACGCACAGGTAACAGACACCGTCAGCACTAGTAGGCAATGCATACATGGCAGTGAGAATAGCATTATAGTCAAGAACAAATACATCCACCCTCTGCCTAAGCAGCTCCAGCCAGGTGGGGAGCTCAGCCTCGTCGCCAAACTCGGTACGCCAGGCGTCGCTCAGACGGGCGAAGCAGCGGGACTGTGTGTGACCAGGTGTCCCGCAAGGCTGACCAGCCCGATCACCTGTGCGAATGACGTACGGGCAGCGAACGGGACTCAAAGACCCTCTACTCTGAGCGTACCACTCGTGAAGCTGCTGGGAAGTAAGTGTCTCGCGTTGACGCCGCTGCAGCTGCAGCTGGCCACTGCCAGACGCTCCCAACTGACCAGCTCCAGGGCGACAGCTACGACGGCTACCGCCACAACCCCAATTAGCGTACCACTCACGAAGCTGCTGGGGCGGGAGAGACTCGCGGGGATGTCGCTGGAGCTGCATCTGGCCACCGCCAGTAGCAGCAGTAGCAGTAGCAGTAGCCTAGCAGTAGTAACAGAAGGAGCAGCAGTAGCAGCGCGGGCAGGGCAGGCGCGGCAGGCAGGCAGGCAGGCAAGCAGACAGGCAGGCAGGCAGGCAGGCTGGCAGGCAGGAAGATGGCGCGGCAGCGCGCTAACAAGGCAGGTGCTCACCAGGCGGGAAGGGCAGGCGCACGCCGGGCGAGCAGGGCCGGCGCTCGGCGGGCGGCTGCTCTGGGTCCAGGGGCGGCGTCGCGGGTCGAGGGGCGGCTGCACGGAGTCCAGGGGCGGCTGCACCAGGGGCGGCTGCTGCAGGGGCCAGGGGCGGCTGCTCTGGGTCCAGGGGCGGCTGCTCGAGGGTCCAGGGGCGGCTGCTCGAGGGTCCAGGGGCTGCTGCTCCAGGGGCGGCTGCTTCAGGGGCCAGGGGCGGCTGCTCTGGGTCCAGGGGCGGCTGCACCAGGGGCGGCTGCTGCAGGGGCCAGGGGCGGCTGCTCGAGGGTCCAGGGGCTGCTGCTCCAGGGGCCAGGGGCGGCTGCTCCAGGGGCGGCGTAGCTGGTGCAGGGCAGCGCGCGGGTCCCACAGGCGCCGTGACGGGCGACGGGGGGCAGCGCGTCGTCACGGGAGGAGGCGACGCGCGGGGCCGGCGGCAGGCTAAAACGAGGCCGAAAAACGGGCTACGCGGGCGGCGGACGCGGCGCGCAGGGCCTAAGCGGGCCGCGCTCGGGCGGCTTACGCGACGCGCGGGCCGGCGGCAGGCTGCGCGGGCGGCTGACGTGGCGCGCGGGGCCGAAAACAGGCTAAAAACGAGCCTAAACGGGCCGCGCGCGGGCTGCTTAAGTAGCGCGCGCGGGAAAAAAAAAGAGGCCGCGCGCGGGCAGCCGAGGCGCGCGCGGGCAGCAGGCAAGGCAGGCAAGGTAGGCAAGGTAACGTTGTAGTGGGTGGGCCCTTATCTTAGGTCCTAAAGACCTCTAGGCTCTAATACCATCTTAGACTTAGAGGCATGAAGTTGTGTGTGATTAGATCAAGGGGGGGGGTACAAGAAGAATGTCGAGAGAAATATTGTACCCCCTAGTGCTAACCCCCATACAGCCTAGATAACCTAAACATATATCTAATATATATAAATATAACTTGACATAGCTGACTTACAATTTTTATCGGTTTACAATGTGGAAATGTTGGTTTCTCTCGGGTGTTTCACGGGAAGGATTCGGAATGTGCATTCAGTGTACACTTCGATAAAAGACTGAAAAAACAGTGTTAGCTATTAAATAAAGGCTGAAAAATCAGTGTCACAAAAATCTCAACACTGAAGAATCAGTGTAGGTACACAAAACTAGGCTGAAAATCAGGAATTTCAGGGGAAAATTCCTGATATCGTAGGGCCTGCTGTAGAGGCTGCTCCTAGCGATGACAACCCCGAGCACTTCGCGTCAGTTTCGAGGTTCGGCCTACACTTCGGCCCGAACCACGCCCGAGTTGCCCCGCACCAATAGCGACACTTCCAACCCATCCATGTCCCGAGGTCCTCGCCTAGCACGGTTTCGACCCTATAAATGCTTGCGTCTTTATCATTCTCGCTTATTCTGTAGTTTTCATCCTTTTTATAAAGTCTTCCGCACATTCTTTTAGTACAACTCATAACACTGGTGCTCTGTGGGAAGATAACCAGGGTGATATAAGAAGTGGCTTGATTGCTGTAGATTTGTGTATGGGTTCTTTTCAACATCGAAGTTGAAGTGTTTGGGTCCGATCCGATGCTGGTTTGCCTTGCCAGCCACCTGTTGCGTACTCGATTAATGCCAACCAAGCGCAATACACCTTGCCTAGCACCTCTACAGCATCAGGGTAAGATTAGTTTTGTTGAGGTAAAAAATCACTAGCAGTACTACCGGTAGATGGTGGGGGTGACATGGGAGGGCTGGAAACATCAAGGGGAGACATTACAGCGGGTATTTCTGGGAATTCTTCTTGCCTTCTGCCTCGTTGCACAAGCAAGCCCCAGGTGAAACCCTTGAACTGTTTTAGTAGAGTCATGAGTAGCCGCAGCAGGAGCGACTTTACTTTCAAGTCGAGTCGGTTTTTTCTGGGGATTCTTCTCGCCTTCTGTCTTGATACACCGGCAAGCCCCAGGTGAAACCCTTGAACGATTTTAGTAGATACAGGAGTAGCCGCAGCAGGAGCGGCAGGTGCCAGAAACATTAGGGGGTAACACAATTGCGGATTTTTCTGGGGATTCTTCTCGCCTTCTGTCTTGATGCACCAGCAAGCCCCAGGTGAAACCCTTGAACGGTTTTAGTAGATGCAGGGGCAGCAGCAGGAGCGGCAGCAGGAGTGCGAGTGCCAAAAGCATGAGTAGCAGGAGTAGGAGTGGCGAAAACAGGAGCATTAGGAGTAGGAGTGGCGAAAGCAGGAGGAGCAGGAGTGGGAGTGGCGAAAGCAGGAGCAGCAGGAGTAGGAGTGGCGAAAGCAGGAGCAGCAGGAGTGGGAGTGGCGAAAGCAGGAGCAGCAGGAGTGGGAGTGGCGAAAGCAGGAGCAGCAGGAGTGGGAGTGCCAAAAGGATGAGCAGCAGTCGAGGCACCAGCAAACCCCATTCGAGACCCTGGTGCACTTTTCTTTGACGCTGAAGCTGAAAAAAACACAGGAACGCTCCAAGAAGGAGCAGCAGCAGCTGCAGCAGGAGCGGCAGGAGCAGGAGAAGGAACAGGAGCACCGAAACCAGCAGGACGAGCAGCAGGAGTGGGAGTTGAAGCACCAAAGACAGGAGCAGCTGCTACAGCAGGAACGTAGAGACCAAAGACAGGCAGAGGAGCGGCAGCAACAGGAGCAGCAGCAACAGCAGCTGAAGCAGCAGCAGGAACAGAAGCTACAGGAGCAGAAGCGCCATTAACAGGAAAGGCAGTGATAGAACCAGCAGGAGGAGTGGGGGCAGGTCCAGGGAGGGAAGGGGAAGCCGAAGCACAGCCACAGTTGTGAGATGAGGCGGACGGGGCAGCTGAGGCGGTAGGAGCTGAAGCGGTCGAGAGGGCAGAGGCGGGAGCGAGAGCAGATGCGGGAGAGGGAGCAGAGGCGGGAGAGGGAGCAACGGCGGGAGAGAGAGCAGCGGCGGGAGGGGGAACAGCAGCAGGGTCGGGCACTGGTGGTGGTGCATGAGTCGACTCTAAAGCAGAGGCTGGTGAGGGAGGAGCTGTAGCTGCAGCTGCTGCTGCTGCTGCTGCTGCTTCAGAAGAAGAGAGGGGTTGAAACAGCTCCCGGGGAGTGCTGACGCCGACAGAAACGCTGGTGCCGTGGGTAGTAGTACCACAATTGACGTAAGATTTCACGTTGACTGAGTCTGTCAGATTGACGGAATCTGTTACGCCGTTGCTGTCATAAACTCTCACTATCAGCGGGTTCTGCTTCTGGAGAACAAACGCGTCATAGAGGTCCTCGCTAGTGGAGAGCACCAGCATGTCTCCGTCCGTGTCATTGTACACAAACAAGAGGTGCTTATCAGCAGGGGTATTGAATTGCTTGCGGATTCGAAGGTCGACCAGGTCGAATGGCGGAGGGGAGCAGTCAAGAAACGCGATGCGACGAATGGTACTACTTTCGCCGAGATAGGCCTGAGATTTGGAAAGACGATTGGGGATTTTGGGGAACGGGGAAGGGGGTGGAAAGGTGGGGAGAGGGGTGAGTGAGGTGGTTGTGGGAGAGAGGGGGGAAGAGGGGAATTGGAGAAAGAAATTGGAGAGAAAGGGGGAGGGGGAAGGGGGAGGTCAGACGGCGGTGAGAAGCAAGGAGGCCAGAGGCGGCGTAGAACACGGTGGAATTAGAATTGATTTCGGCCGAAGGATGATAGCTGGGAGGAAGGGAGAGATAAAAGGAGGCCTGGGCCCTTTCTAGTGGTCCGGAGCGACTCCGAGTTGGAGGATATCCGCCTGCGAGAAAGGACCTCCGGCGGAACTCGAGGCGCCTAAAAAAAATCGAGGCGCCTCAAAACAAGTCCGCCATGAACGTAAATCGTGATGTAAATGACGCGGGCGAGGAAAGAAGTCCACTATGAACAGGACGGTGAAACCTTTCTATGCGCTATTTGTGTGCTAACACACGAACTACAAGCTCTTGGCGATGTCATGATGATAAAGGCTGGAAAAGCTATGACCTTTTCGCGATTGCGTCAATCGCGCGCTCGCACCAGAGAACGCAAGTAGGGAAACTAATCATGCAGCCGATTTTTTAGCCGCCTCAAAAGACGATTTTTTTGGCTTCTCAAATAACGTTTGAAATCCGCGATTGCGTCAGTCGCGCGCTCGCACTACGCAAGTAGGGAAACTAATCATGCAGCCGCACTTGTGCTCACCTTGATTACGTAGGGCGTGCTACACATGGTGAAATTACATCCGCACGGTCGACAGGAACATGATGGAAAAACGTCCGCCATGGATTGGCAGCTCGGAAGCGCGTCGACGGTCATAGGTAATAGTGGGTCGATAGAAATAGCTGAGCTGGATATCGTATAAAAGAATCAAGGTTGCCTGTAAAGATTGCGTGACGGAGAGGGCTCCGATGCTATAGAACGGAGATGCGACGATGGCGAGAGTGGAGGAGGACGCGTGTTTTTACACAGACGCTCAACCTGAGCTTATGACGTGTACTTTGAGAGTCTCAAGCGCCGCTTTTGACGGCCTTTCAAACGAAAACGATGGGCTTCCTTGAGGTGTACGCAAGTTAGTTGTCACAACGAGAACCAGACCTAAGAACCGAAATCTCCGCAGTTGAACACTAATGAACTAACTAGCCTGGGCTCCTAACTGCGGACCAAAATCTTCGCAGATATATGATGGGGTTGCAGCCAGGGCTCTCGGTATCAGGGTAAACACCCTGAATCTCAGGTACATTCCGTATGTTTTGTCAGTGAATCCTGATTCATATTGGGCTGGTTTAGAAATCATCCGGACCAGTTCCGGATGATTTGGCCGAGCACCCGGGGACTTCAGTATTGTTCTGAAAAACAATCCTGAGTTTTGAACTCAGTACAAGCTGTCATGTGGGATATCGAGTGCAAAGATGCCCGTCAGTGCCTTCAGGCACGACGTAAGTGTGCCGGTTTGTTAGTCCTGCCCATGCGATATGGACGTTTGCGCCTAGGGTGTTGAACTGCTGTAGAGCAATTTCGGATTTCTGGAAACACATACGGACGCGGAAGGGAAACGTTCGGGGTATGCTGATTTTCCAGGATCTTTTCTTAGGCGAACCTGGAGCCTTCCGTGCCCTGGTTGCAGCAGCCAGTTCAGCCGAGTCGAAACAGCAGGTTTGGCCAGAAGCCACTCGAGCCGCGGATAGCTGTTGCATCATAAGCAGCAGGAACCCATCTCAACCGAGTCTAGAATCTACAAATCACCAACCAACCACGTCATTGCCAAACCTGAACCACACGTGACCTAGGCCCGCCCAACCTCCAAACCTCGAACCTTTTCTGCACACGAATCGAGTCGCGCTCGCCTTTGCGCGCGACATTTTGAACGATTCGTCGGTATGATGTTTTCTCGTCGCATGCGTGTTACAGGCACCTATTGATATATGGAAATGTATGAATGTTGAGTTACCCAGAAAGACAAATTAAGAATTGATCTAAGGGGGATTAACCGAGGGTTATTTCCCAATCAGATGATGACTAACGAACTAGCATCTCGGCTGAAATATGTGAGATATTGTTTTTCCCCACACAATAGAGACAAAGCATGAAAGCATGACGTTTGGAAGAAAGCTTGAAGTCTGGAAGCTGCTCAGCTCATATAAAGCCGAGTACGCTGTTCACATCTCCACATGTATTTACCGGTGACAACACGCTTTTCCATGCTAATTCAACCGCCTTTTCAGCCCTGTATGTATCTCTATCATACCCATGCTGGTTTATTTGTATACATAATGGAATGAGTTTTAACGTGCAATTTGTGCTAACTCTCTGGAAATTTACATGACTCTGAATCAGAGTCTCTGATTCTCCAGCTGCCTCAAAACCAGTCTTGGGGCCTTTGACGCACATAGCTGCGACGAATCTAACTGATAAGCGTGATTGGAGACGGGTTTAGGGTAGAGTTCTACGATCTGTAGAGTTCCAGGTTAACTAGGAAAGCATGAAGTACGTACGGTAAACGTGGGCTAACAAGGAGAAAGGAATGAGTCAATAGGCTGGGTGGAGAACATAGACTCGGAACAATCTATGGAAGAGCAGGCGCGCGCAACATAGAGAAGGAGACGGAATTAGGGGGGAAACGGAGAGGGGAAGACAGAGAGGGAGGAACGGAAAGGGGGTTGCGGGGAGGGTTTGACAGAGAAAGGGGAACAGGGAGGTGTACCGTAAAGGGGGGGGCGGAGAGGGAAAGAGAGAAGTGGTAGACGGAGGGGGGAAGACGGGGGAACGAAGAGGGGTGACGTAGACGGGGAGATGAAACAGGGGAGATTGAGAGGAAAAGAGAAAAGGACTAGGGAAGGACTAGGATGATGGAGAGAGGACGAAGGTGGAGGAGAGAAAGAGAATATGTACATGAAGAGTTTGAGGCGGGTGTGGGTGGGCGAGGCGGGGCAGGTGACACCAGGGAAAGGAGGTTTCGGAAAACGATAACGGCAGGCAGGAAGATTAAAAGAAAATGTGGACTATGATCTGTTTGAGAGAAAGGGTTCAAGTTGGTGCCAGTTATCTTTAAGAGGCCAATGTGTCGTGTAATTCATCGCACCAAACAGGTTGGCCAATGAACGTAACAATTTCAGGAGAAGTTACAACGATGTTAAAGAGAAGGAGGTACTTCATTATAAAATGCGAGGAGCAGAACAAAAAATGCAGCTTATTTTTCTCGAACAATCTATTTACGTCACCAGCTGGAGGCTGAGCAGCTCCTCTTCCGGAATGACGCGAATTTTACAGTCGGACTTCGGGTACGACGCACACATCAGCGCGTATCCCTGCTCCATGACGTCATCGCTCAGCATGCCTTCCGATTGGTCCACCTCACCCGAGATCAGCTTCGCGGGACAAGTCATGCACACGCCGAGCTTGCAGTCGTGGGGCAGATCCAGGCCAGCGTCAATCGCGGCGGACAGGATGGTCTCATCCTCAGGAATCTCGAGGATATGTGTTTTACCCTGATGCTCAACCTCCACCTTATGTGCGTGCACAACGAGCCGTCTTCTCCCGCCGTTTGAAGCGCTAAGAGCGTTGGACCGGATCGGCCCGCTGAGAACACGTGGACAGGCGACGAAGTTGGATTTCAGAACTGTGATGGAGCCGAGTCCCGCGACCGGAGTGACGGTCATATGCAGCCGGCACGCAGCCATGGCGAACGACTAGTGCTTTACGGAACGAGAATGCAGGGACGGAAACCAATCCACTCAGACCGCTTAGCCCTGCCTTGATGTTTCCGCTAAGTTACAAGCGTAGGAAGTGCGAGAAAAAAAGGTAGAGTGAATTCAACAAAAGTGGAAGCGGTAGTGGACTCCAGTAAGTGGTAGGTCAGGAGTCAGGACATGGAACATATGCGATGAACGGCATCGCAACATTCTGGGATTGGGTAATCCATGGCAAGGTTCAAGGGGCTGGCAGGGAAGGGCCACGTCATCAGTGGAAAGCCGAGTGGTGTAGCCACCGCTGGCAGGAACGCAATCCAATTTTACGACGTGGCGCACTCGTGCCACCAATGGGAGGCCAAAGGATTCCGCAAAAGCGCACCACGAAACCTGAGCTGATATACGCCGCCGCGACACTCAGAAAACAGATTGTGATTGTGCCAAATACAAAACAAACAGAAATCTGTAACAGCTCAATCGGTCATCTTCACATGTAGAATTTGTGCATGATTAGTATATGTTTGCCAATACTGAAAACTATGTAGAAGATAGGTGCGTCATACCTGAGGTTGAACCAATTATAAATGCGTTTGTTTACACAATGTACTAACACCCTTACGCAGTAACTCCCTTGGAAGCCAGGAATTCAGCCATCTGTGCCTGCCTCTTCTCGGCCAACGCTGGGAGGAACTTCTTCCGGCCAGGCACAACCTCAAGCGTGCAACCAGCAGCCTCAAGCTTTTCCCAGGCAGCTTCACTGAAAGAAGCCGCCTTGATGGTCACCTTGGTGGAAATCTCGCCATCACCCAAGATCTGAAGCAAGGGACATCAGAAATACATCATAATAATAAATGTATGAAGTAAAACCAGGGGCATAAGAGGGAAGGTCAGGGTTGAGAGGGACAAAAGAGGGGGGCATCAGTGCTTTCGCAGGAAGCATAAGAAAAATCAGCCTCCGAAGTCCTCAATCAAAAATAAGAAGTCTCAACCTTCAGTGTAAGCCTGTGCCTGGTTCGCGATCAGACATCGTCAGGATTCCATCCTCTACAATGCCCCCCACACAGACATCATTGCCCTCCAAAAACCCCATTTCCTCCCAATCCCCCACGTTCAGCGACACATACTACCGTACCCAAGACAACGCCAGTCAACGCACCTTGAGTGGCAGCCGGCGGTCGCGGCCAGAGGGGTTGAGAATGCCATCCTCAACAAGGCTCTCCAGAGACACCTCCTCGCCCACCTCCAGTCCAATCTCCTCCAAATCACCCACGTTCTACAAAAGTCAACCCAAGTAAACAGAAGTCAACGCCAGTCAACGCACCTTGAGTGGCAGCCGGCGGTCGCGGCCAGAGGGGTTGAGAATGCCATCCTCAACAAGGCTCTCCAGAGACACCTCCTCGCCCTCCTCCAACCCCATCTCCTCCAAATCCCCCACGTTCAGCGTCACATACTTGGGCAGACCCGCGCCCATGCCCCCCGCAATGCCCTTCAGCTTCGGAAGACGCCTGTACAGGGGCATCTGCCCGCCCTCGAACCCGTGCCTCACGCCCGGCCCGGACCTGGACTTCTGCCCGCGCATGCCGAACCCACAGCTCGCGCCCTGGCCTGCCGCGTGCCCGCGCCCCTTGCGCTTCTCCTGGCGCCGGGATCCCGGCTGGGGGGCCAGGTTGTTCAGGCGGAACCGCTCTGCAGGTGGGGGAGAAGGGGGGAGAAGAGGCAAGATGTGGGGGGGGGGGGGGGGGGGGAAGGAGGGAGGCGGAATGGGCGTGAGCAGGAGCAATAAGGGGCAATGGGAGTGAGAGGGGAAAGAGCAGGATGGGCGCTGGAGGGGAAGGATGGGGGCGGGATGGGTGTGAGCAGGAGCGGGTAGTGATGAGAGGGTAAGAGCAGGGGAGACGTCGAGAAAAGATGAGAGGATGAGAGAGAATGAGAGGGGAGGGAGTGGATGGTTTAGGGCGACGTCAAAGACAAATTGCGGTGGCATCAGAAAGTTATTTTCTCTTTCAATGAGAGCGAGGCTCTCTAAAGAAGTACGAATACAAATAGTAACAAACGCATCACGCGCCACTGGGAGAGCGAGCTAAAACTAAACGCCTGTTTAAGCAACAAACAAAAAAATGCCGCAAATAA